GGATCGGGGTGGGGAGCACCGCGGCGGGCCAGCCCTGGGCGGGCGGAGGGGTGGGGGCGGGGGGTGCCCGCGCGGAACCGACCTTTCCTGTAAGGTCCACACCCTCCTGCCCGGGTGCTGCCAAGTCCACAAACCGTGTGGCATGCTATGTCGGCTTTGCCTTCCCTTCCTTGTGTGGTGCTGGTGTTTCGTGGCTGGGCCTCACTTTTTGGTCAGCAACTTTTCTAGAAATTGTAGCCTGTGTTGACAAGCTCTCGGATTGTCAGCTAGGGTATATTTCTGTAGTATTCTAGGAAGAAGAGAGGGTGCAGAAGCGTTTGCCTGTGTTCCCAGAACACTGGATGAATGGGATCTTTATATTTATCCGCGTTTAACTTGTTCTTTACAATTCTGTACTAAGCATTTTTGTGTCATTTTTGCCATTTTGCATCATTGCTATTGAGTATATAATTTTGCTTGAAGTCTTATAGCTCATCAATGAATCTATATGACTGTAGTAAGCAAATTTATAGTTTTTCAATAAATATTAGTGTCTTGTATGTGAACAAAGAATAAAGTTTCAGTTCTTACGGTTGAACTAATAGGAATGGATTCAATATGTGTATACTAAATTAACTGATTGAAAAAGACTGATAAATGCATTTAGAGCATTACTAATTTAAAACTATTAGCATTCACATATAATCCAAAGCTTGAAGTTCTGAAAGTATTTTACTGCGTGTTTGTTCTGTGCTAAAAAAAAAAAAAACTAGTTATAACCTTCTTTATAACTTGTCTTTATAACCCATTTGAGTAGATAAATCTCCCTCTTGTATTAACCAATCAATTTTGTTGTATAGTCGATTTCTTTCTTTTCTAGGGTGCCTATTTGTTCTTTAAGCAGGCTAAAGGTGCTGGAGATGTTCTTTCTGAGGGTTATATGGAGCTTGTTTTTAAAGGGAATAGAAATAGAATCAATAAAATACCATGCTTGCTCCCCTCCCCCCAGAAAGTTACTCCTTTTTTTTAAGGGATGCATGATTTTATTACAACAAATCACCAGATCTAAGTTGTAGTACAGTGTTATTTTGCTCCCAAGTCTGCTGAAAGGTTTGTTTTTGTAAACTTCCTCTTTGTATCTATCACTTGTTAAATAATGCTGACCTTAAATATTGTGATCCTATTTGTTTTCTTTACTTTCATTCTTTCTTTCCTTATTTGCAATTTGCCTTCCCTCCTTAATAGTCAGTCTACTAGTATTTTCCTTTATCAGTGCCATAAAGGTGGGAAAGCTGTGTTGTAACTAATTCTCTATTGAAAGGACTGTAAACATACTGCTGAATCAGTGCAGTTCAAAACTTGGCACCTTTAAACGTGGGGAGGATGGGAATTCTGGAATTTCACACAACAGGTTGGATATTGTGTAAGCTTACCTTATGCTCTGCTCAGCAGTTGGAGTTTTATTTATTTATTTTTTTATTGTGATACTTGTCAAACGTTCTCCATGCTGAAGTCTACACAGGAATGACACAAGCAGTATGCCAGTACTCTCAGCTGCTGTAAGCACAGATGTTCTACATGGTAGGCTTCTTAAAGCCTACAAATTGTGTGATTTTAGTAAAGATAGTAGTTAAATATGTTTTATATTTTGAATCCTTGTTGGACTTTTTACACAGATAGTCATGACTGCACGAAGAAAATCCTTTTTCAGACCATATATATTCTCCTTTTAGACTCCCCCATTGTTGACTGCATGTTAAACACCGCCCCCCCCCACACACACACACCACCACCACCATTCTTTGAGTTTCTTGAGGGTATGGAATGGCATAAACCAATCTTTCTGTTTCTTCAGGACTCGATTAGTCATATTTGTTCATTGTTGAATAAGTACTGATTGCCTACTTAGTGCTAAGTATTGCCTACTTAGTGCTAAATATGGTATAAAGTTACAGGAAAAAGATAACAAGATAGGCATGGCCCTTGTAGTCATAGAACTTACAGAGCAGTGAGGTCCCCCCTCCAAAAAAAAAAAAGAGTCAACAAACAAAAGTTGAATATGGTAAGTGATATGAAGGGAATAGAGCAGTATAATCAAGTATAACCGGGAAGGAGAGTTAACTGTTCCAAGCAGAAAGATTACAAAGCTATAAAATTGTAATCAATATTACCAAACTAGCTTCCAGTTGATAGAATTTTTACAGTTTAAAAGAATTCACTTTTACTATTATAATTTATGAGAACATATCCTCAGTAAACAAATAGATTGTGCTTTAAAATTATAGATTTTTATTTCTTTTTTGTGAGAGAGATTTTTGCTATAGGGTGCATGTACTTGCTGGAGAGATAAGGAGACAGTGAGAAATCATGATCCCGGGTGGGAATGACCATGCCACAATCCCTTCTCCTTCGTTTGACTCTCGGGATTTTGGGTTTACACACACACGCCTCTGGCATGAGTTTTAAGCCTCCAGATCTGAGACTCTAACCCCGGTCAACCACATGGGAGTCCAGCACGTCAAACAGCATGCCACCTGCTGGCCCACAAATTATAGATTCTTTATCAATTCATTGGCAGCTTTGTATTACACCAGAATAAAATCTTAGCTCTGCCATCATCTATATCCCTGAGCAGTGTTTGACTCTTCAGACTTCATTTTATCCCACTTTTCCTCTGATTTACTCTTGTCCAGCCATAATGATTTCTTGAGTATGTGAACAAGAGGAGCTCCTTAGGGCTTATTCCATTTTCTTGGACTGTGCCTCCTGCTCTTAGAATGTGTCTGGCTCCTTTTCCTCTGAGTTTGGTATAAATGCTACTTCCTCAGAGACTTAAACCACATTTTTTTTTAAAATGTATGTCTCCAACTATTTTCTGCCTCAGCACTTTGTTTTCCTTATAGTGCCCATCAGAGTGAAGCACAGATGTTCCACATGATTACAGTGTATATTATTTGCTTGTTTAACTGTTTCAAGTAATTTTCACACTGGGCGTGGGCACTAGGACCATGTCTATCTTGTTCACTTCCTCCATGTATTAACTGAGTGTTTTTGGAATGTGGGATCTATTTTCTCATAAAAATGTTATGACTAGTGGCTAGGTTTCTAGGCTAACCAGTGATAATTTAATTTCTTACATTTCTTGTTCTTTGTACTGTGGACTCTCTATGTCCTTTTGGGGGTATAGACGTAAGTCCATACAGAAATTTAAAATGGCTAAGATAATTTTTATAATATTTATGTCTCATATTTCCATTCTACATTCTTTTTCCCTTTTCCCATGTACTCCTCATCTTCCCATTGTAGCCATCTACCCCGTACTGCACCCTTGAGCTATGCTTGCTTTTTATTTGCTAAAATTCAGAAGCTCTTGTTTTTATTTTTGTTTTGTTTTGCTTTGTTTTCTGAAGTGGTTTTCATGCCAGTAGCCACCCTGTTCTCAGGTGTGTGTGACAGGCGGAATAGTGAAGACCCCTGGAAGTGACAGCAATCTCTGTGGCTATTTGTGTGTGTCGAAAGTATAATAGCCATCTTGGAATCAGCAGATAGCATAATGGTTATGTCACTGGACTCCCACGTAGTCAGCTACGGTTTAAGTCCCAGACTTAGTGGCTTAAAACTTATGCTGGGCGCCTGTGCATGTGTGCCCAAGATCCCAAGAGGAGAATGGAGGAGAAGGGATTGTGACATGGCCATCCCCCCTGGGGTTATTTCTTGCTTTCTGTCTGTCTCTCTGGCAAGCGCACAGGTCCCATGGCAAAACTCTCTCATTTAAAAAAAAAAAAAAGTGAGTATAGTAGCCATCTGTATGTAAGGAACTACATATATCACAATTTGTGTTTGCAGCGTTGTAATAGCAGAGACAAAATGTTGCCTAATTGAAATTTTAGTGAAGTTGGCAGAAAACCAAAAACCAAAAAAAACTTCAAAAACTCATTGCCTCTCTTCATGTATTAATTATGTAGTGGCTAGATCTAGAAAGGTTTGTCAAAATGTAGATTTTTCTGAAAGACAAATAGAAGGTTTAAAAAACTAGGTCATATAGGAGAAAAACTCAAAAGGAAAGTATCAGTTTATCAGCTAGCCCTGCCAAATGCTCAAACTTAAAACCATTAGCATCAGTTGCTTGTAGCTGTTTATTGCCAAAACAACTTCAGTATATCACCTTTTTTATTTTTAAACATAGGAAAATGCTGCAGTAATGAAATGTAAATGTAGTTGACTAGACATTTTACTCCCATGTCAAGTGGAATTCCATGAGATCTGGTTATAGCTTACCAAATATGAAAATGAGCCATCTAAAAAAAAAAAAAAAAGAAAATGAACCTTCTAACAGTCTCACCATGGTGCATTCCAGAGACTGCCTGCTTCATAGCTCCTCCCACTCCCATTCCCCCCCATCAGCTTCTTTGCCAGTGCCCCTACCGAGGGCAGGGGGGCACCTGATTTTTGTTTTGTTTTGCTTTGTTTTCTGAAGTGGTTTTCATGCCAGTAGCCACCCTGTTCTCAGGTGTGTGTGACAGGCGGAATAGTGAAGACCCCTGGAAGTGACAGCAATCTCTGTGGCTATTTGTGTGTGTCGAAAGTATAATAGCCATCTTGGAATCAGCAGATAGCATAATGGTTATGTCACTGGACTCCCACGTAGTCAGCTACGGTTTAAGTCCCAGACTTAGTGGCTTAAAACTTATGCTGGGCGCCTGTGCATGTGTGCCCAAGATCCCAAGAGGAGAATGGAGGAGAAGGGATTGTGACATGGCCATCCCCCCTGGGGTTATTTCTTGCTTTCTGTCTGTCTCTCTGGCAAGCGCACAGGTCCCATGGCAAAACTCTCTCATTTAAAAAAAAAAAAAAGTGAGTATAGTAGCCATCTGTATGTAAGGAACTACATATATCACAATTTGTGTTTGCAGCGTTGTAATAGCAGAGACAAAATGTTGCCTAATTGAAATTTTAGTGAAGTTGGCAGAAAACCAAAAACCAAAAAAAACTTCAAAAACTCATTGCCTCTCTTCATGTATTAATTATGTAGTGGCTAGATCTAGAAAGGTTTGTCAAAATGTAGATTTTTCTGAAAGACAAATAGAAGGTTTAAAAAACTAGGTCATATAGGAGAAAAACTCAAAAGGAAAGTATCAGTTTATCAGCTAGCCCTGCCAAATGCTCAAACTTAAAACCATTAGCATCAGTTGCTTGTAGCTGTTTATTGCCAAAACAACTTCAGTATATCACCTTTTTTATTTTTAAACATAGGAAAATGCTGCAGTAATGAAATGTAAATGTAGTTGACTAGACATTTTACTCCCATGTCAAGTGGAATTCCATGAGATCTGGTTATAGCTTACCAAATATGAAAATGAGCCATCTAAAAAAAAAAAAAGAAAGAAAATGAACCTTCTAACAGTCTCACCATGGTGCATTCCAGAGACTGCCTGCTTCATAGCTCCTCCCACTCCCATTCCCCCCCATCAGCTTCTTTGCCAGTGCCCCTACCGAGGGCAGGGTGGCACCTGCCATTTCAGGATCATCCTGCCAAGGCGGGGTAAACTAGATCCTGTCACAGAAAGAAAAGAAAACACTGGGCGTGTCTTGATACCAGATCTGTGGTTGAGAATGTCTTAGACCCTGTATCGTTTTCTGTAATTCCATAGTGTACCATTTGTGGGAGGGAATTTCATTTTGCTTTTAGGAGAGTTTTCAACTAGAAGACCAAAATATACCTCTCTTGGTCCAATGCCACTATCCTTTTAGTTCTATTAAGATTATTCTTCTTTTTCTTTTTTTGAAAATCTTATGGCCTTTCTTCTTCTTGCTTACTAATTATAAGTTTCCCACAAGGTTCTTTATTCTGTTCCTTTTCTCTCTGCATTTAATCCCTTCGAGAACTTTTCTATATTCTAGTGTGTCTAACTAAACTTTTTTTTTTTTTTTGAGAGGTTTTTGCTATAAGGGCGCATGCTCTTGACAGAAAGTGAGAAATCACCCCCGGGGGGATGGCCACACCACAGTCCCTTCTCCTCCATTCTCCTCTTGGGATCTTGGGCACGCACGCACACATGCCTGGCATGAGTTTAAGCCACCAGGTCCGGGTCTCGAACCATGGTGCACTACATGGGAGTCCAGCAACATAGCCATTACGCTAACTGCTGGTCCCTGTCTAACTAAACCTTAACTTCTAGGTTGATAAAGTGAAATTTTCTCTTCATACCCAAAATTCAGTTCTTTGATATAGTCTCTAACTTAACAAAAGTTGCCTGTATTTCTCCTCTCCCGGCCCTCATCTCAGTTCCCTTATCATTCACCCCATTGTAGAAGCCAAAAAATACCAAATTGATTTGTCCTCCCAACTTCCCCTTTTGACTACAGTACCACTAGTCTCTAGCTGTTGACTGTTTTCTTCTGCCCCTTTATCTCTCATATTTAATCCCTAAGCACTTTGCTGGTTCTTTCTGCTAAATTGAAATGAGATACAGACTTGAGTGGCTTTCTTAATCATTTTTATCACGCTATTATTGGTGCTCCCTACTTCAAACCATTAAGATCACCTTGTTAATTGTTAATGTTCTCACTACTTTCTCTATTCTGATGAACATATGTAGCTACCCTGTTAATCTTGAAAATACTCTTGTAATTTCTTATGCTGCTTAATTACTTACAATAATTATGTTATTTCTGTTCTTTTCTAAATCAAGTACAAACACTGCAGGGACTAATTTCAGTGTTCTTTCTTTACTAACAGTCATCGCTTAACCCATTTATACTTTTTCTTACTATTTCCTCAGTTTATCTGGTCACTCTGCCAATAGATATAGGAACGGGTCTTTAAAAAGTCCATGAAAGATGTCTATTATGAAGAAACTGCATGGATTTCACTTTTTTTACACAAAAATAAACTCATACTTCATTAAATTTATAAATTTCATATTTCATGAACTTTTTGAAGTCACCTCATACACTATCTTCTAAATTTTTTGTTGCTGTTTATCTCCACCTAGAATATAATTTATATTCTTTTATATTTTGATTTAGCTTAAACAGAAACCCTGTGTTTGAATACCCATTTGCCAGCTTCGTGATTTGGCCTCATGGTAACTTGGTTTCTTTTTCTGTGAAAATGGGGATGCTTAATTGGTTCCTTCTAGGTTTGTTGTGAGAATTAAATGAGTTAAGATATAAAAATTGCTTAAAGTTCCTGGTATAAATAAGTACTCAGTAAATGTTTTTAAATCTAGTTTAAGACACACTTCATTTAAATCACTCTTTTGATATTGATACTAATTTGCTAGGCTTCAGACCTTAATTTCCATATTTATGAATTGATAAGATCATTTTTTTTTTTTTTTTTTTTTTGGAGAGGTTTTTGCTATAGGGCGTGTGCACTCGCCAGACAGAGAGAAACAGAGAGACAGAAAGCGAGAAATCACCTCCCAGGGAGGATGGCCACGCCACAATCCCTTCTCCTCCATTCTCCTCTCGGGATCTTGGGCACGCACGCACACACGCCCGGCGTGAGTTTTAAACCACCGGATCCGGGACTCGAACCGTGGTCGACTACATGGGAGTTCAGCGACATAGCCATTACGCTAACTGCTGGTCCCCTGATAAGATAATTTCTAACATTTGTTCCATTATACTACTGAAAGCAGTAAGAAGTAGGGGAAAAGTATGAACTTGCACGTCAGACAAACTGTAAGGTAACAAGCCCCTCAATATTTTTTCGTGTTTGTGGAGAATTTTTCTGTTTTAGAATTATTTTATTTTAACCTTATTTAATTATGTATTTTAATTTGACCAGAATGGGACAGAATGACAGAGAGGGAAAGGGAGAAAGCAAGCTGCCAGGTCCAGGACTCGAACTGCAGTCAGCATTGTCCAGTGCCCTTAACCACCACGCCACCTGCCAGCCCTGCCTCAGTTTTTTTTTAATCAGGAAGTGAGATTATACTTCTTCAGTAAGAACTAGAACAAAATAAACTCTTTAGTTTTTTTTTTTTTTAATCATTGTTTGATATTTACTCTATTAGCAGTTTAAAAAAATTTATTTACTTGGGACCAGCAGTTAGCGTAATGGCTATGTCGCTGAACTCCCATGTAGTCGACCACGGTTCGAGTCCCGGACGTGGTAGCTTAAACTCACACCGGACGTGTGTGCATGTGTGTGAAGGGATTGCGGCGTGGCCATACCCCCTGGGGGGTGATTTCTGGCTTTCTATCTCTCTGTCTCTCTCTGTCTTTCTGGCAAGCACAGGTGCCCGATAGCAAAAAAAAAAAAAGTTATTTACTAATATTGATATAAAGTATAAATAATGGCTGACAAATGTATCTTTTTTTCTAGGTAAACACCAAACACAAGCTACAAAATAAGATAAATTACTGTCTCCAAATAAAGAAAACCCAAGATCCATGAGCGGCCATCGATCAACAAGAAAACGATGTGGAGATTCTCACCCGGAGTCCCCTGTGGGCTTCGGGCATATGAGTACTACAGGGTGTGTATTAAATAAATTGTTTCAGTTACCTACACCACCATTGTCAAGAAATCAACTAAAGCGACTAGAAGAACACAGATATCAGAGTGCTGGACGGTCCCTGCTTGAGCCCTTAATGCAGGGATACTGGGAATGGCTAGTTGGAAGAGTTCCCTCCTGGATTGCCCCAAATCTTATCACCATCATTGGACTGTCAATAAACATCTGTACAACTATTTTATTAGTCTTCTACTGCCCTACAGCTACAGAGCAGGTAAGAAGAAATTATTTTTTTAAGAATTATTTATTTAATTTTATTTGTTCATTCATTTACTTCAGTTTGACCAGAGAGACACAGAGAGAGAGTGAGAAAGTGAGAAAGCAAGCCACCAGGTCCAGGACTAGAACTGTGGTCAGCTGTGTGGGAGTGTCCAGCGCCTTAACCACCATGCCACCTGCTGGTTCCAATAAGAGGAAATTCTTAACAACAGATAGCCACATTTGATATGTACGAGAAATATAATCCACATCTTGGGGTCATTTTAATTGAAAATTAGATAATCTGACAAGTATTGTTCAGCTATTTTAAAATAACCAGTTATGTACTGTGATAAAGGTCATAAGAACAACCTGTTTTATATATTCTTACTTATTAGAAACCAGAAGCAAAGGGTAGCTGCTGATCCTAATAGATAAATTAATGTTAAACATTAATTTGTAGCATGTTCCTTTTAAAATGATAAGTCTTGGGGCCACCATTGTGGTTAAGGCAGCTGGATCCTACATGGTCGACTGTGTGGTTTTATTCCTGGACCCAGTGGCTTCAAAACACTCCAGGTGCATGTGCATGTGTGCCTAAAATCCCCAGAGGAAAATGGAGAAGGGACTGTGGCATGGCCAGTCTCCCCTGGGGGATATTTTCTCACTTTCTCTCTCTCTCTCTCTCTCTCTCTCTCTCTCTCTCTATCTGGCGAGCATACCCACCCTGAAGCAAATTTTCAAAAACAACAGCAACAACAAATCCCACTAAATTTCAGTTCTTTACAGAGGACTTGTCTTCTGTTATTTTGTTGTTTCTAATAGCTGAATAAAACTGTTAGCAAAGTTTTAAATGATCAGAGAGGAAAGTCTCTGGTATTCAAGATGGCATGACTAAACCAGTCTTATTAAAGATGCCTTCTCCATTCCAATCCCATTTCTCTTGTAAACATAGACTTCTGATATGTCACTGTAATTCTAACCATGCAAAGGCATAACAAAAAGTCTATATAATGTGGTTCCTGTTCCATATCTGATCTGGCTGCCATTAAGAAAGGAAGCAGAGTATTAGAAAGTAACAGACCTGCCTACATCTAAGCATCTCTTCTGCTGTTCCCATTATACACACACACACATATATTAAGTTTTGCTTTTGAGCACATGCACTCACCAGAGAGACAGAGAGAGAGACAGTGAGAAGTCTCCCCCACCTAGAGGGTGCTACATTGCTGCAATCCCTCACCTCAAGGAATTTTAGGGTCACACACATGCGGCATGTTTTTCAAGCCACTGGTTCCAGAACTCAGACCACACAATCGGCTACCTTAAGGACAACGCCACTTCCCTGTTCTGCCTGTATTAATCAGAAAGATCAGTCTCAGATAACTCAAGGTAGAAGGTGATCCTCAACCAAAGATGTCAGTGTGACTCTGAACCACAATATATGAAATCAAAGTGGCCACATTTCTTATTCCAAACTAAAATTAATTTTTTTAAAAAAACCAGTCTTTTCAGATAATTTGTCTCTTGAGGTAAAATTGGTTTTTGTTGAAAAAGGCAAACTTTTTAGTAGATAAGAAAAGAAAGTGAATTAGTCCTTATTTGTCAATTTTCTAAGGTAGAAATGTAGACTCCTTTTTTTATATGGGATGATAATATATCCTCTTTTCTAAAAAATTAATTTAATTTTATTTATTATTATTATGGAGGGAGAGAGAGAGACGGAAAATGAGAAAGCAAACCTCCAGGTCTAGCTGGCTATGTGGGAGTCCAGTGCCTTAACCACCACGCCACCCACTGGCCCCAATAATATATCCTTTTAATCTGTTTATTACTTAGTATTTAATCTTCAGATGCTAGTAGCTTTGGTTTTAGTATTATAAGTTAATTTGGAATTTGTTTTGCAGCTTATGTTGATATACTTGTTACTCTTGCCACATGAAACAGATAAAGGAAGTTGGAATGATCTGTTTTATAAATGAAAACCAGAACTGAGTTATGCCACTATAAGGAAGTTCTGTCAAATTTAAATATAGCTTAAACTCACTAAGAATTGTGTATATTTTTTAGCATAGAAAATGGAAAAAAATATTTTTAAATGATGCATTGCCCCGTAATCTCCCTGCCTAGTTAACTACTATTGACATTAAAAAGAGTAGGGGAAAAAATTACAGTTAGAAAAAATCAAACAAAAAAATAGTGTGAAAGAGTAAAATCTTCCCTTTTAGCCTTCCTTTCCATCTCAACCATCTCCCCCACCCATCTCCTCGAAGGTAACATAGAACAGTTCTTTGATATATGTCTTCCTGGAATGGAAGGGGGCATTACTTTTGGACTAGCATCTGTATATATTTGTGTATATATATTCTTCAGCTCTGTTTCTAATGTTTAGTAAGACCATATTTTACTTAGAATTTTTACCTGAATTGACTCACCAAATTTGTAAGATTTTGGGAATTGGTGAATTGCGACATGTACATCAAGATTATTTGCTTATGCCAATCTTTTGCACCCACCTATCGGGGTCTGATTTTCTGAATAATAAATGAGTTCCTTCATTCATTCAGTGTCTCTCTGTATTTATTCTTGAATTAGAAGGCTTTCTGTTTATAATACCTCTAAGAGATACAAAGTAAAGGAACAAGGATGAAATCTGTAAATATTAATTTATTGTTCTACAGATTCACAGGAAGAAAGGAATCTAAACGCTAGAAAGCTTTTCTCTTTTTTATGTATGTAATTGTTATTTTGCCATTTTTCTAAGATTGTATATATACTATTAGTATATACACTGGTATATACACTGGAAATAGACACTAGTAGTTGCTGAAATTGTCTCTGTTTCAGAGTAACATTTTACCTAATTAAGTGCCTGAAGTTTAGAGCCCCAGGTGGTGTAAAGAATAAAGTACTGGATTCAACATGGCTAATTCACGGTTAGAGATCTGGACCAGCGGCTTAAAAATCATGCAAAGCATGTGTGCATGTGTGCCCAAAATTCCCAGAGGAGACTGGACAGGAAGGGATTGTAACTTAGCCATCTTTCTGGGGCAAAGGGTGATTTCTCTCGCTCCCTCTCCCTCTCTCTCTCGTGAGTACACATGCCCTGTGGCAAAAACTAATAAAAAAAAAAAGAAATATTTGACCTTTTTTTTTTTTTTTTTTTAAAAAAAAGATTAAGTTTAGACCCTAGCTCTAAGAAGTCCCTAGCTCTCTAGTCCCCTAAAGCAGAGCTATCCAATAGAACTTTCGGTGATAATGGGACATTTGTGTTTCTATGTCTTTGCAGTTCAGTATAGCAACCATCAACACATGTGATTGATGAGCATTCGAAATGAACCTGGTGCTACTTAGTAACTGAATTTTTAATTTCAATTAGTTTCAGTTAACGAATTAAAGTCACATTGGCTCGTGGCTATGATATCGAACAGCAAAGCTGTAGAAAGTTACTAGATTCCTTTAAGAGCAGGAAATATTAGACTCAGTACAAAATACAAGGTTCTTAGTCACACAGGATTAATTATTCACTTCATTGAGCCTGTGTGTATAGTATAGTTACATAACCAGTTATTGCTTTCAGGGTTTGTAACTCTAGTTTAGGGGAAATGTATGCTATCTGTGCTCCTTTTAATAAATACAGTGCCCTAAAATATGGAATCCCCAAGTAAATGTTTATGAGATGATCTGTGTCTTTTACTAAATAGATCTCTATCAAGGAGAAACCTCTTTGCAGTACAGAATATACGGCATATGGGAACCAGCAGTTAGCGTAATGGCTATGTCGCTGGACTCCCACGTAGTCAACCGCCGTTCGTGTCCCGGACCCGGTGGCTTAAAACTCACGCCAGGCGCGTGTGTGTGCGTGCCCAAGATCCCGAGAGGAGAATGGAGGAGAAGGGATTGTGGCGTGACCATCCCCCCTGGGTGTGATTTCTCGCTTTCTGTCTCAATGTCTCTGTCTGTCTGGCGAATGCACGCGCCCTATAGCAAAAACCTCTCCCCCCCCAAAAAAAGAATATACTGCACATCATTTTCAATTCTGAGTGTTCATTAATAGTGTATCGTGATAACCAATATCTGAGAAAATACCATATTATTATAAAATATTTTTCATAGTCCAAACATGGGAAAATGATAAAAAAATCACAGAACAATCTTCTGTATTCTTTTTTTTTTTTTTTTTTTTTTCAAGGATGTCATTTGGGTTATGTATTGATAAGGCTACTTTTGTGTGCGTGTAAATTTATTTCTTTTATGCAAGAGAGAATGTGTATGAGAGAAAGACAGAGTGCCTCAGTCTCATCAAGCCACAATCCCTCCTCTTAGCCTTCTAGGATCGTGGGCGTGTGTACATGCCCAGCACGTTTTAGGTTTTCATGAGATATGAACCCCGGTCAGCCATGTGGTTCCAGTATTGCAGAGCAGCACACTGCCACCTGCACCACGACAGCTAGGTGGTTTTCTCCCTTCTTAAGGATAGCAAACCCAATAGAAGCATTCTTTTAAAATAACCAACATTTAAATTTAGTACTAATGGTTTAGTTTCTGTGTGAGAAAAGAGAAACAGTTCCTTGAAAGATGTGACTCTAAATAATATTTTGAGCATTCTGTATACTAGATCATTTCCCCAGTGCTAGTCCATGGACTGTGAAAAGGTACATTTAAAAATAACGGCCAGTCCTATGATCTACTAGTTAAGGAAGCTGGGTTCCAAGTGGCCAACTATGTCATTTGAATTCCAGCTTCAATGGCTTGAAAAATAAACTGCACATGTTTACTCCAAATTCCAATAGGACGCAGAAATGAAGGAGGAAGGATTATGGCATGACCACGATCCATTGGAGGGTATTTTTTCTCTCTTTCTCTCTGGCAAGTGCACGTGCCCTCTGCCCCCCCCCCAAAAAAAAAAAGAACAAAAACAAAACACGAAACGCTCAAATAAACTTGGGAACTGTCAGCCTGTTGTGTCCTCCTAGTATTAAGAACTGGAAGAAATCCTGCAGTAGAGAAATTGTTTAACCTAGTGTTGTCCACATGTGGTTAATATGACTCTTTTCCTTTTTATGCAGTATCTGTAAACATCTTAAAATTGACAATTTGGGATAGTTATAGTAGCTATTCATTAATTAGCTCTTAGAAAATGTTGGGAGGAGTCTTATAGAAGATACCTAGTCTAATCTCTTGTGGGGTAGAAATATAATAATATCTCTCTGAAATAGGTATGCAGCATCTGCTTGAGGTCCCCTAAAAACAGGGAATTTAATTCTTTCACAATTTTGATTACGTTCTTCATTATGTAGCACTCTAATCTTCTCTTTCATAGATAATCATCAACATTTCTTGAGAGAATAAACATACTGTAGGTAAAAAAATTTACTAGCCAAATATAGTGGTTCTATGTCTGATTATTCTTGCCTTATTTCATTTTACAGGCACCTCTGTGGGCATATATTGCTTGTGCATGTGGCCTTTTCATTTACCAGTCTTTGGATGCTATAGATGGGAAACAGGCAAGAAGAACCAACAGTAGTTCTCCTTTGGGAGAACTTTTTGATCATGGTTGTGATTCACTGTCAACAGGTATTATTGATTTTTTTTTAATGTTAATGATTTTTAGCAGTGTTAAAAGCAGTGTAATAAACAATGTTAGAATAAAGTAGGTTTATTTAGTTATCGGAATAAATTATTTTTATATTAAATGTTATATTTATCAGAAGATATTGACTCGTTAATATTTGTTCATTATCAGCAGTAGTGAAAATTTAGAAATTAAGTTCATTTCTACTTAAATGTAGCTTTAGATATTTTAGGGATCTTCTAAAAATTTTCACGCTTAATTGTCGTAAAAAACTCTCATAAACTATAGATGAGAATATAATCGTAGACTAGTTAATTTGTCACCTCTATAAATTGAGTATTACATAGACATTTAAAATCAAGGCATAGAACCTGGATTATAAATATGTAATAAAGTCTTGGTTAAAAAGGCTAGGACAAATAAATCTGGAACTCTAACGTCTAGCACAAGAACTGTAGTTAACAAGACTTTATTGTAGGGCCAGAATGTGACACAGCAATACTGTCTAAGGCAGTCCCACTTGAGACCTTCCCTGTCCAAGTCTGCAGACCTCTGGGGTATGCTGGGCAAGGGCGTGCCTGTTATCTAGGGCTCAGTCCGGACTAAGGGTAGATTGTGGCATCAAGACCTTGTCGAGGGTGCTGTCTCTCTCCCCTTCTCTTTCTTGCTCTGTACCTTTCTGTCTCTCTTGCCCATGGAAGAAAAAAAGAAACTTAAATATCATAATTGGAAAATTTGCTGAGAGAGTAAACTTTTAAGTGTTTTTATACAGAAGATATAAACAGCATATTGTTGACCTTAAGTACATACAGAAACTTAAATATCATAATTGGAAAATTTGCTGAGAGAGTAAACTTTTAAGTGTTCTTATACAGAAGATATAAACAGCATATTGTACACCTTCATACAGCAAAAAAAAAAAAAATATATATATATATATATATATATATATACACACACATAACATA